ATTCAACTTTCGATATTCTCTCTTCGACTATTCAACTATTCAACTGTTCAACTATTAAACATTCGATATTATCTCTTCGACTAATAAACTGTTCAACTAATCAAATTTTGATATTCGCTATTCAAATAATATAAAAATAGTAATGTTGAAATCGACGAAAATATACGTCTTTATCGATTGATGGAAAAAATAAATGTATTAATGGATCATTCTCAATATCAGCATCAATACCAATATGATTTGTATATACATGATGTATATTATGTTTTTCTGACCACCATTTACGTGAAAATCCATTAATAACGCCTGATTGAAATGCGGCAAACCAAGCTTGAAGTGATCCTCGTCCATGAGTATTATCATGACCGATCCATCCTGCTTGTTGCATACCCAGTCCAATAAGTAATATTGCTACTATTGAATGACCGGCAAATGATATATATGTACCAAAAGATGTTAACATAAAGACGGATAATTGATAAAATAATTCCCATTTTCTATCATGCTTCCACCATCCATCTTCTTCTAATTGTTTTCTTAATCGTCTGAATGCTAATGTTGCTTTAGTTGGAGCAGGAGTATCATTTAATTTAGCGATTGTTTTATGCATTTTGCTAAGACGTGTCCAAGCATTTTTAGAATGTAATGAAGTAAACGCATCAGTTACATCTAATCCATTTGAATGTTGTAATATTTTTGCTCCGCCCGGATGTTGATGTTGCCATTGTGTTAGATTATACCAGTTATTCTCAATTTTTACTCGAAGTTGACTATCGCTTTTACCATCCTGAAAACATGTTTCAGTCTGAGTACAACTTACAGATGAAGTCAAGACAGTCATTCTGTTATTTAAATAATTAAATTTATTTGAGCTGATCAACTTAAGAATGAAATATTCGTAGCACAGAGGGTTTTCTGATGTTTCTCACTACTATTAGTGAATACTGTGCTAGATCAGTCTCTCTCTCGCTTGGAGGATGCATTGTTTTTAAGATGTCAACGACTTTTTATTGTTTGATGGAAGCCAAAAAGTTTAGCGTGACACCAAATGGAAAGAACTCATAATTCTCAGGTGACATGATGAATAATACACTTTACATACATAAATGATTAGAAAATATCTTTCTTTTTTCCTTCTATTTACCTATGTCTCTTATATTTTGCATGCTATATCCTATACTTGTTGCACGCACTTGACATACTACTTACTTTTAGGTGTGCGACAGCGGCAATGGCTGATTTCTCATTATTATATACTTTGGTACTACTGGAAAAGTAGAAAGAAAGATCAATAAAAGAACGAGAGCAACAAAAACAGTTCGAAGTCCTGTTGGATATAGTATACTTAAATTATTGAGTCATACCGTACGTATTAATTTTCAACCAAAACTACGGCGAACAAAAAAGAAATTTTTTTACATAATAAAACATCAAGGGTTTTTCGTAGGGATGCGTACATTCTGGAGCATCGATGAAAGTCGATACGAACTCATCCATTTCTTTCTACTTCAGAAAATGCGGTAATAAAAACTCGGTTTTGTAGTGCAAACGTTTTTCTACAAAATGAGCCGTTTACCAGTGCAACGCCTCTTCAAACGGTTATAGGAGTTTTCGTGAGAGTCATAACGTCTCTGGTCTCCACCCACAAAAATAGAATCATTTGACTAAAAAAACTCAATTGTCAAAAACATTCAATATAATCATACTTTTCATGCAGTCTGCTTAAGAAAAAGGTTAAACACTGCGGTCCGGATTCGATGCATACCTAACTTAGGCACAACTTAGACAATATGTTAAAAAACAGGTTTCAGTTGGACATAATTGAATAATATCGTGTATAAATCCTACCAATACATATTCAGTCTCATTCCAATATGAACTATTGCTAGTTTATTAGAAGGCCACCCTCTGTATAAGGCCATGTCTGGGAAAACTTTCAAACACCCTAACAGAAGCCTATGATTAATATTTTCTAAAAATCCAATATTTTTAATAAATATTAATTAATAATTATGAAAATATATCTGGTTTTTCGGGATTTTCGCGCTATATATCTCTATGTTCTCATAAATCGCGCTATATATCTCTATGTTCTCATCCCAGAATGAAAGGTCATGCCCTTATGCAGTGTCTCGGCACATCGCTACTTTTTGGGTAGTCTTGTGCTCAGAGTCAATTTTTGGTCAACTATTAATAATAATATTTTTAAAATTTCAATAATTAATTA